CTGAGACTCACACAGACACCAGATTACCCAGGCAAACACAGCCCCAGCTGTGAGTCCCTCCCTCGGGAACAGCTGAGCTGTGGTGCTGGGAACGCTCTGCAGTCACACCCCCCTCAGCTGCAGACGCTGGAGCACCTCAGGAGGACCTTGGTTGCTAAGTATGATCTAGAGCTGCCTTTGTCCTCCCTCATGTCTGTCCTTGTAGATTTTCTTATACCCAAACATTAAACTGATAAAGCTGTTGCTTTACTCTCGTCTTTGCAATGAGCCTGAGGGACCCTGGTGACACCACGACCCTTTTCCCCAGTGCTGGCCCATGGGATCTGGCTCTGCAGGAGGGGCAGGTTGGCCAAGGTGCCAGGTCAGTGCTGTGGAGGTGGAGCAGGACACTCTGCCCCTGGAAAGTGGTCAAACAACTCAAACAACACCCTTCTTTTGCAAGCTACAGAGAGGGGGAGGCAGGTGATGCTAAAACTAATCTGGCACATCAACCCCAAATGAACATCCTGTGAGGTGAAGATCTGGCAGATAAACTGCTAAGCTGCCCTGGAGATGGACTGGCAGTCCATCACTTTATACTGTGGAAGTCCAGTCCCCTTTCATAGGAACAGGTTCTTCTAACACACCCTTTGGGGTGTGTGGTGTCTGGAGGTTCCTCCCTTGAGAGGGGAGGCCCTTTCAAGGATAGTTCTCGAGGTGAAGAGAAAGAGCTCTGCCCACAGCATTGGTCTGGTGAGTTACATCAATCTCTGTTTAATAATTATTTCTTATTTTTCAGGCTCTAATATAGTTATTTCATAGAACTGCTTTGATATAGTGCACTATCCTATCCTATACTATACTAGTAGTTTTTAGCCTCTATACTGTGTAGTAAATAATTCTGAATAAGATCTTTTGTCTCATCATTTGTCATAATAATTAATTTTATAGAAATATACCCAGTTTTCCACCTCTAACCCTGCAGGACAAAGTTGTACTTAAACTGTTCACAAAGCCCGAGGCTGAGATTGGATCCAGCCACCCCCAGGCTTCTCTCTGAGAAGGGGGTACTTTCCGTACCTTGTGAGTCAATGGGAGGGTTTCTCTAATTAATTTGAGCTAAAGCCCCACTCCCACCCTAACAAAGGGCTCCCTGAGCCTGTCAGAGCCCACTGAACACATGAAAGGAGACTCAGCTGCTGTGCCACCCCTTAGCTCTCCCTCCCTTCCTGACACTGCCTCTTGTCCTCTCCCAAATGCTGCAGCTTTCAAACCTCAAACCCACGAGGTCACCACCCCCCCCACCCCCCTGCTCTGGCACCACGAATTGCAGGGTCTGTGTGTCCTCTGGCACAGGGGCTGGGAGAGGAGGGTGAGCTCTGGCCAAGGTGGGATTAGATGAGGAACAATTTGCTCCTTTAAACACGCACAAACCCAGTGGGTTGGGTGTAAATGGGATGACCAAGTGTCTGAGGAGTGATACCAGTTGGGTGTAACTCCTGCTAAAGGACACACACCATGTTCCCACACACCAGGCACGTGTGCCCAACCTACTCCAGCCCAGGCAGCACAGCTGGACCTGCCAGGCAGGGCTGTGCCAGCACCAGCGTGCCCTGAGCCCCTGGTGAGGTACAACACATCTGCAGGACAGAGAGAACAGAGACCCAACAGGCAAATCTCACATTCAGCTGCAAATCTGCCCCATTTGCACAGACAGACTGTGATGTGGGGAGCTTTCCTGGCTCAGTCACCAGGGTTCCCCTGCCCAGCACTGTTCCCACCCTGCCCACTGCAGAGCTGAGCACTGTCCCGGGCTCCAGCCTTGGAGTCCTGGCTCAGTTATTGATTCTCTTGCCTGTGGCACTGCAGGAGAACATCCCCAGAGCACATTTCAGTGGGATACCCAAAAAAGAGCCTCCTGCAATGCCCTGACTCAGAGCACATCTCCAAATGACTCCAGGAACAGCCTGGATCCAAAAGTCAGAGATTACATTTCTGAAAGTGTTACTGGGCAGGCTGAGGGCACTGAGGACATTCAGGACACTGAGGACACTTGACTCTCCTTGTTTTCAACACCTGCTTCTTAAGTTCCAACCTCCTCAAGGATCTGGCACAAACTTACAAGAATTAGCAGGTTGTAGGGAAAGTTCCCTACGAGATGATCCCACAGCAGCAGGAGGGTCTGACCCCACAAACCCCTCCTGCCTCACTGTTACCTGACCCCTTGCTGGGAAATTATTCTGGGTTCAGCTGGGAAATTTTGCTTTTCCCAGCAAATAACCTCACTATTTTTAACACTGTTGCAGAGTTACCAGGAAAACAAAGAAGCTGTTCAGTGATGAACCGACATTATCATCTGCTCCACAGAATTTCTGCTGCTGTCCCAGACTGGTGGAACACAAGGAGCCCAATTCCACTCGGAAACTATTTTCAAGGTCTGAGACTGATAGTAAAAAATAAAATTAAAATAAATAAATAAATAAATAAATAAATAAATAAATAAATAAATAAAAAGTAAAAGTCACATTTTTACCTGAAAACTCAGCAATCACAACGTGAAATAATCAGTCCCAGCCTGGGACACCTGAGTGTATCAAGATGCTCAGAAGAGGCTGAAGAAGCTGGTTTTGAATCAGAGGGATGTGATAACTCCTGTCTCCTGGAGCACTGAACTCACAGCAACCTGCACAGCACTTGGAGCAGCAGGAGTTGCTCCGACACAAATAGGGCAGGTGGGATCCACCTGCCTTACCCTGAGGGCTCAAAGACCCCCACAGCTCCCTCTTGCTAGAGGGGGGAAGAAATGCCTTGTGCCATCCCCTGAATGCTCCTTTAGAGGTGCTCGTGTCCCCCCAGGAGCCTCCACATGGAGATGAAGGTTCTACCTCAGAATAAACCATCCAACTTCTACCTCACGTGGCATGAGATTAACCCTGCCATGAGCCTCACCACGGGCACCTTCATGGCCTAAAGAGCGTGGGTTCATCCCTGGGCCATCACGACACACTGACAGGTTTGAAGAACACCCCCTGTGACGACTCCATAGCCTTTAAATGCCAGGCAGTGATGCATTGCCCACTGCCATGGCACAGAGGAACCATAAATCACGGTCCTGCAGGAGCCTGGGCATGTCAGACATGTGGATGTGCTGATTTGGTCTCCATGGTAGTTTGGCATGTCTCACATCTTTGTCTTCCGCCCGAAATAGATTAGCTCTTAAATATTACTCAGCACTTGGAGTTCTGCCACAGCACAGAAGACAGTTGAGAAAACACCAAAAATGTGT